AAAATGAAAAACAGCACATTAATGAAAAACTATAACAGAATAATATTGAAAAACAATAACAGGATAATAATGAAAAACAAATACAGGTTACTAAAATAGATGTGGATAACTTAGATAAAATTAATTACTTTGAAATTGCTCGTACAGTTTGGAATAAAATGGAAGAGTAGTCAATTGCTTTCCAATTTATCACATCTTAAGAATTAAATGATCCTGCACTATCTGAACAAAATCTTACAAGTTATGACTTTTATGATGAATTTATTAATTAGTATCATTATCAACAAATAGAAAAGTAGAGAAATCTTGGAAAATAAATATATAGAAATCGGTTTTTACATGACTTATAAAAGTATTCAATCAATCTTGCAAAAGTAATGAGCACAAAATAAATGACATAAATTTAATATTAATAATAAGGATTTCTATATTAGGAAGAAAAAGAAGAGGAGAAGTGGTAAAATGAATTTTTTAATGATGATGATCGTTAATTTGGTTCCAATAAAAAGGATTTAAGGAGTGTTCACTTATCCAATAAAAGGTAGGAACTTTTCATTTGTCCATAAGTCTATCTAAGAGTTCTTTATAACGACTGATTTATTTGGCATATTAGTGTTATTTAAAATTTTTTAGGGGCTGATATTCAATTTGATATTAAAATAGCTATCTAAAGGAAACAATGTTTAGAATATCTATAAAATCAAATAAATTAATAAAATCTAACTATAGGTGAAGTTCCAATTAGTAATGAAAAAAAATATTGAATAACGAGGTCAAATTTTGAAGTGAGAGATGTGAAATTTTATTTAAATTCACAAAAATTAAATAAGAAATTATTTTGTTAGAACTTTTAAGAGAAAATATAGTCTTTATGGATATAAATCAATTTTACTTAATTTTAAAAATTTATTGTTTAGTAGGGTTAAATTCGTAATTATAGGGAAGAACAATTTTGTTATTTCTTAATATTCTCAATTATGTTTATGAAATCCAATCTTGGGTAATTTTGTAATGTTATAACAATTAATAAAATTGAATTAGTTGACTGATATTATCGTTGTGTAGATATTAATTAATTTCTAAAAAAAATCAGTTTGAGGTAAAATTACATAGTTCTTATCTTAATGATTAATAGCTGATCCTTATATGCTAAATTATTATTGGAAGTAGCTACTTTGAATGTAATTCATATAGAACTTAATTAAGAATATTTTTAGAAATGGATATAATTATGATCTCTAATCTATTGGGTTAGAATACTTATTGATGATTAATTTACCATTTCAGTCCTCTATAATATTTTTAACATCAATTGAAATAATAAATAACAGGTTACGAAAATATGACCAAGATTATAGTAGAGTAATTTTAAAAATCATTCAATTTCAATGTTTTAACTTTGTTTCATTTAAGATTATTCTAAAATTAAGGATATTTTTTTTAATTTTTAAATTATATCTTTCTTCTTAACTTTGTTCTAAATGTATCATTATATTTATTATGAACTGAAAATCTAAATTATACTAAACTATTAGTAATCATTATTAGGACCTAAACCTATTTACGCTGTTTATATTATAAATTTAATAGTATATTATTCGTCTATAAATATGAATTTATAACTGTTGTTTCTGACATCTCAATATTATTATTTAAATAGTAACAAAAAACACATATAATTCATAAAGTTATAAGAAAATGATTAAAATTATAATTGTAATGTTCTTAATGAATATTCAAATTCACTTCTTTTGCTTTAAGTCTTCTAAAAAGCAACTTCCTTTGGATTTAAACAAAGGTTTTAAATCTTTCCCTTAATGATTAATGAATTGTCCTTATAAGATAAGTGTTC